TCCTGCGGGAGCAGGGCGCAGTGGCGACTCCTGCCACACATCCCCCTCTCGGGCGGGATTGGTGAAAAGTGCCTGGCCTGCGTGACGCTGCCGGCGGACCTGGTAGGCTGTCCCAACCCAGATCCCAGAGCCTGACGGTGGCCGGGAGGGGAGACGCGTAGGCTGCCTGGTCCGTAACTCCCTGGTGCGCAGCGGTGAGCGGGAACACCTAGCTGGTGCAATTCGATCAGGCTGTGGCTGACTGGGAGAGAAGCTGGGCCTCTTATATAAGCTTGCATATATAAGGAACAGAGAAGAAGAGGCAGAATGGGAAGAGGCAGCAACAAGAAAGGCTCCTCGGCCCCCAATTCTGAGAAACAGGCAATAGCAGACACCACACCAATACACATAAGGCACCATATAGAGAGCCTCATAGACCAATTCAGGAATGAAGTTATCAATGACCTGAAGCTAGAAGTATGCAGAATAGTTAGAGAAATGCTAAGTACCACCCAAGAAAAAACAGGTGGTGGAATGGAAGAACAGAAAAAAAGGGGAGAATTGTTGGATGGAGAAAACAGAGAAAGCATAGAATACGTGAAGCAGGTTCAAAGGGACTACCAAGATACTAAGAAGTCTATAGAAGACTGGCATAACAGCTTGAAAGAAACTAAGGACAGACTATCTGAACTGGAGGGCAGACTTGTAATATGGGAGAATGAAATGAAAAACTTCTTAAAAATAACAAAGAAACAAACAGCAATAATACAAAGACAAGAAGATGATAAGAGGATCCATAACTTAAGGATTAAGAACATAAAAGAAGAAGTAGGGACACAAACAAGTGAACTACAAAAGCTACCCACAGAAATAATCCAGGAGAATTTTCCTAATTTAGCAAAGGGTAAAGATACTCAGATGTATGAGGCATACAGGACCCCAGCTACCTACAACCCAAACAGAGCAACACCCAGGCATATAATAATAAAAATTCCAGAAATTCAATACAAGAACAGAATATTAAAAGCTGTAAGAGACAAGAAACAGACCACTTACAAGGGAACACCCATCAGAATTACAGCAGATTTCTCTGCACAAACCATCAAATCACGAAGAGCGTGGGGGGAAATAATTCAAGCATTGAAAGATAATAATCTCCAGCCAAGATTGAGATATCCTGCACAACTGTCCCTGGAAATTGATGGAAAAACAAGGTGCTTCCAGGATAAAGAGGAACTGGGGGAATTTGCAACCACCAATTCAACTCTACAGAGAGTATTGCAGGATATTCTAAAAAAAGAAAAATACAAAGAATCCAGAAATAATGGCAGAGAGGCCACAGCGAATGGAGCAGAGAACAAAATGAAGAAGACAAACTGACAGCTACTGACAGAAAAAGAGCTCAACAGAAATGAGGCAGAGAAGATTGGATGATAGGAACAGCTATTTTGGAGAAAATGACATCTTAATAGGTAATACTGATTTAGTATCATCTTGTTTTGAAGTCTCATCTAGCTTTTGTCCTTCTGTCTCCAATGGTCTAAATAGGCTGTATCTTATTGGATTTTATAATGTATGATAGTATAAGCAAAAACCTTTTAAAGACAAGGAGATTATACAGAAACCATTGTTCATTTTCTGTTAGTCGATTCTAAATACTCTGTAATGCTGTCATTCTCTTGAATGGTTTTACATTGTTTTGATATACTTAATGCTACAGTATACAGAGTTGTACTCAAGGATTTCAAAGAAAGAGACAATATGGTAACTACTTATAGGTTAGGATTATCTGGTGGTGAAACACTATTCTGCTTAAATGGTTATGTTTTGATCTGCGCTGTTTCGTTGTTATGCCCTCTTTTATCTCAATCTCCACTCCATTATTTACTTTTTTATCTTTATCCTTTTAATTAAAGAAAAAAAAATAGCAGGATATATTATAGTAACCCACTTTGACTTTTCACTACCTTGATTTAAAGCCCTGTATTACTCTCACCATCTGGTTTTTAACTGATGTTCCCCTATTCTGTTTTGCTGGATAGTATCAGGTTCGAAAGTTTAGGCATCAGCTGAGAAGATAATGAGATTCATTATGACGCCCATTCTTGTTGACTTTTATCTACTTTTGAAAACCTACAATGTCTCCAATGTTTTGGTTTTGTCGGTTTTATTCTTTACTGTTTTGTTCAATTGTATTATAACTAATGATGTAGGCAATTCTATTAGAGATAGCGGGAGGCATTATGGTAACCATTGTTGATCACCTTGTATTATGTTTTTACATTATCTATAATGTCCACCCTTTTGACTTGACCGATTCTGTTCTGTTATGTCACATTTGGTTTTACTCTCTTTCAAAAAAGTAATAAGAACCGTGGGAGCAATGAAACCCAAATGTGTAATAGTCATGGTACAAAAGAGAGGAAAAGAAAGTGCTCCAAACTATATAACTGCATGTATATTTAAGTGTATAAGATAGAAAATGATATCACAGAGTTTTATTGAATCAATGAACAGAACTGTTTGCAGTATCATTGATGGAATGTCCACTTTACAAGCTTTAATTTTGTGACTTGAACAATTATTTCTAAGATGACAATATGTAATCCATTAACTAGTGATTTCCTACTGTTCATTTTTTTTCTGTAAATCTGTATAACTTGTACCCTTTCCCTGCTTTTTTTTTGTTTTCTCCTTAAATAAAATTAAAAAAAAAAGTTATTCAAATCTATTTCTTATAGGCAATTTACTTAAAAATTTTAATTTACAAAAGAAATGAAAGCAAATAATACAAAGGCAAAAATATAAATGCAAACAATAGACAAACATAAGATGGAATATTGCCATTACTTTTTGTCTTCATCTAACCTTGTTTTGCAAAGGCCTTCACCTGCATACTTTATAATATAAAGTAGTGATTTTATCTAGATCTCTATTCACTTTGCTTTTCTTCCCACTTTTAGGGAACTTATCTCTTTATCTTTTTCTGTTACCAGGAATTGAACCCACAAATCTTGCACTTGATAGGCAGGCACTTGTGCCAGTGAGTTAAGTCCCTGGCAAGAATTTATCATTTTTGCGTTGGTATACTGAATAATTCATAAATCTTCCATATATGTCAAGTGTTTGATTTTGAAAGGTAAAGACAAAAATACCTCATCTACAATGTTGTAATTACTATTCAGACTTTTTAAAAAACCATGTGAATATATCCAAAGGGGAAAACAGCTCCTTTTTTGGCTTATTAATCAGGCAAATTCTGTGACTAGCACATACAAACCATTGACAGTAGAGATTAAACTTCTCCACAACTGGCACTTTTTTACTCTGGATTCTTACGATGTTCTGCACCTGTCTTGTGACTAGAGCTAAGAATGTTGCATTATAATTTATCAGCATCTCTATCTATCCATCCACATGCCAAATGATTTTTGTTGTGATGCTGGGGAGGGAACCAATGGCCTTGAGCATATCAGGCAAGTACTCTGCCAGTGAGCTATACTCTTGGCTCCCAAAGCAATAAACTTTTATCTGTCTGGTATTTGTTTTGTAGGACCTACTTTATGATGCTATTAATACATGCTGAGGTGTTCAGGGTGAAATATATGAACACATACATTGATGGATAGGTATGTGGATACACCTGGGAAAACACAAATACAAGAAAATGTTAATTGTAGAAGGTAGGTAGTGGGCACATGTTTAGTGTACAATTCTTTCAGCTTTTTTAAAAAAGATGTTTGAATATTTTCTTAACACTCATTTTGCTCTAGGGACAGGCACAATTTTTAGTTCCTGCAAGATGTAACACCATCATTCCGTTTGCAGAACTCTTTGGGGAGTCACTAGTTTGTATAGTTTCCAAACCAGTACAGGAAGTTTCTCTTGCTAAAAAAATAACTTTATTAATATGACTGGGCAATTTACCAAAATACAAAGTAGATATGTCAAAATATGTAATTATTACACTAAAACCGTACTACAGACACCCAGCTTTCAGAAGAGATTTGTGTAAAACAGGAGAGGAAAGGATTCGTTTTCTAGCTGTAAGATCACCTATCTTCTATCAGGAAAAGTGTTTTACTGACTGCAGTCATGGTATTTCAGTATCACTCATTTGAGACACAGGAATGTCCTGAACAAATGAGGGCCTCTCATTTGTTGGAAATACACTAAATCAAGCCAGGCATGGTGGCGGCAGCACTGTGGGAAGCTGAGGCAGTAGGATCCCAAATTCGAGACCGGGTTGGGTAATTTAGCGAGGCTGTGTCTCACAAAAATGGGGGTAGGGCAGAATGTAGCTCCATGCAAAAGGCCTCGGTTTAATCCTACATTAAAATTTTTTTCCCATTAAACCATACAGCAGGCATAGAAGCAGTACAGGCATAAGTGCACCAGATTGAGTATGAATTCTACACAGCCCAGCACAGTTAGCTGGAGATAACGCTTTGCAAGGGTTGCTGTACTACACAACAGAAGAGCAACAGTAACCCATTGTGTTGGTATCCGTCATCTGACAAGTCATCATTGTGACACAAAGGAGGAAGCTGAATTAACTGCCTCAAAACCTTTTTCCCGTTTAGAGTTCTGCGAGTAATCCAAGACAAATACTGACCGCTACCTTCAGGGAACCGTGGCCACTTATGACCCCAAACCCTCAAATCCCCAAATCCTGGAACGCCCGCGCCTCGGCCAATCTGCGCAAGCGCACGGGCGCTGGTTTGCCCCAACCCGCTGAGGTAAACGGAATGTTCCATTCCTGAGGTGCTGACAGCAGGAGGAACTGGGAAGCCTGAGCCCGAAAGAGCAGGTTCATCACTAGTATTTTTAGCCTTTCACTCCATGAATGATAATTTTTGGTTGTTATATCTTTACGTGGGAGATTTGGACAGGCTTCTTGAAAAAGTGAGTTTGGAACAGTTCCACCACCCATCTTCTTCCCCCTCACCTGGGCGCGTTAGGGCTGGCCAGCTGACGGCCAGGTACGGAAGCCTAGAGGGCCCCGCCCACCCAGACAGCTCCCACCCCCCCTACGCCTCGCCTAGTCTTGCCTCGCCTCTCGCAACCACAGCTTGTCTGCCGGCGGTGTCGCCGGGCAGCTCCTCCTCCTCTCCGCCCCGCGGGCTGGGGAGCGTCAGCGCTGCCAGCGTGGAAACTGCTTTCTGGTGCGGGAGGCGGAAGTAGCGCCAGGTCACCACCGACTCCGCCGACCGCTTCAGCCATGGAAGCATCCCTGGAGAAGGTCTGTACAGCTGGTGGGGGCCGGCGCTGAAGCCCAGTATCAGCCTTCTGGGTGGCTGTTCCTCCGCGAGCTGCCTTAGTGACCTGGGAAGGGGATCGGAGCTGAGGGGCTCGCCCGAGGAGGCCTGTTTAAGTCATGGAGTCGGGTGGCTAAGAGATGCTGGATTCTTTCGGGGCCGCCCTTGGGCTCTGCGGAGGTTCCACGAGGGTTCGGGCCCTTTCAGATGACGGGAGCCATCAGTTTGGGCCCCAGCTGTGCCTAGAAAGAATCCTCAGTTATTTTGGAAACAGCTGCAAAGCTGTGGGTCTGTCTGCGGTTTCCACGTGAGGAATTATTAAAGCAGTGGCTTTCCAACTTGAGCGTGCATAGGAATCACCTGGAACCTTTGGTAAAAATACAGATTTTCAGCCCTCTTCTGGTCTGAACCTCTGCGGGGCGGACTTGTTCCTGTGTATTTAACAAGTTACCCCACGTGATTCTGATGCTGTGGCTTGCAAACACTGGGCAAGTGTTTGGCTCTGGGATCCTGAAAAGGGTAGGTGCTCTGTAGAGTGTGAATTAAGTTTCGGAGATTGTAGCTGTTCCACACCTTCTTTCTGGAGATCAAAAGAGACCTTGGCATCAGCCCCAAAATCCACCGGAACCTTACCTTGGTTTCCCTTGAGGGAAATCAGTAGCGTGATGTACCTTGGCAGACTGCTCACACAAGTGAAATGGGTTCTAATTGTCCCTGATTTAGGGCTTGCAAATGAGAACAGGTGCTTGGGATTCTTCATAGATTCCTGCATTCTGTGCCCGACATCTGACTTTCTGGAGTCCTCCTGTCTTTCTGCTTAGGATTTTGCTTGTCCAGTTTTATGCAGACTGTTTTTCCTCCATGTGGAATTCAGGAGTAGGGCTAATGTTTAATATTCATTTTAGCCTGGCATAGGTTTGCTTACTTCACACGGAAAGCAGTAATCGTAGAAGTTGAGCTATATGTCATGAGCATAGGATGGTAATGGTATATTCTGGGTGGAAAACAGGAAAAGAAAAGTTAAGATGTTTTTGTTAAGTCTTCTGATTGGCACAGTGGCCATCTTTATGATACTTTGAATTTTATTCAAGATGAATGGTTCTCAACCATGGAGCAGTTTTGTTTCCTGGGTGGGGGGTATTTAGCAACATCTGGAAGTAATTTAAATCGCAGAGGGACAGAGAATTGCTGCTGGTACCTACCAATAAAAATGAAAAAGACCAAAAAAAAAAAAAAAAAGAAAGAGGCCAAGAATGCTGCTGAACAGCATCTACTGCACAGGATAGCCACCCACACATTATCTGGCTCAATTCGTCAGTATCATTGAGGCTAAGAAAGCTGGTCAGAATCGTGTGTGTAACTCCAGTAATTGAATATAAAATGTTGCTAAAAATGCCTCTTCTGTGTTTACAGTTTCATATGTTTGTGATTTTTTTTTTTTTTTTTGGTACTGTGGATGGTTGGACTCACAGCCTTGTGCTTGTCAGGCAGACCCTTAGGTCGCTGAGCTAAATCTCTGGCCTTCCACTTTTGTAAGTAGGTAGGGTGGGGTTTACATCATTTAATTAGAAACCTAAAGGAACCTGGGTGATCTTTTCTCCAAGAGTAACTATCAGCAAATCTGCAAAACCAAATGAGTTGGAATCCTACTATAAATATTACTTTTCTGACATTTGATTAGTAGATTATAGTGGTTGCTTCCTAAATGTTAATTATTGATAAAAGATCTGAAACTCTCTAAAAGACTCTTAGAGGAACTGAAACTCCAGGAATTTCAAGGTTGGAGCATTCACAAAAATTGCAGTGAATTTTTAGGAATTCAGAACATACAGGCCGGAAATTTCTGCCTTCCACCAGTGTGAAAACTCTAATGTAAATGTTTTATGACTAGGATTGTGTTTTATTTATATTCCATGAAGTAATGGAGAAACTGCCCATTAATAGACAGTTTCTTATGTTAATGTTCAGTGAGCAGAAGAAGGCATTGTCATTAGATAAATTTTGATGACTTTGTATTCTTAAAAACAGTTTAAATCAAAGTGAAACATTGTGTTCATTATTCCAGTTTCTTTGAGGAACGGGCTACTCTGGAGTTGAATTATACATTGCTAATATAAATTTTAAAGCTATTGAACAGTTTTGAATGAATGCCTTTAAATTGACTATGCATAATTTATAAAGCTACAGTAACCACAAGGTTATTTGATGTTTATCCTGTAAAATTTCAAGCTATAGTATGCTACCATTTAGTAGAATCACTCCCTATATTTTCTTTTGTCTAAATGTAATTCTGTACCTTGTCTTTTCCTTTAGTTAATATGTAAACGTGCACACTGCAGTGACAAAGCCGCTTTTATTGTGATTTGCTTTTCTTTCACAATAGTATCAATTCTCTTGTGTCTGAAATGAGTGATATCTCAAGAAACCAGGTGGGTTAATTGGAAGGGCAGGGAATTCAAACTAGGAAGGGAGGAAGGGGATGGGGTCCTGTAGGATAATCTTACAGAATTCACTTACGTTAATATGCAAGTAAAGAAGTGGTACAGGGATATAGTTCAGTGGCACAGTGTCTGCCTGACAAAGGTTGAGGTCCTGAGTTTGATTACCAGTACCAAGAAAAAAAAAGCAAAAAGAAATGCTACAGGGAAAGTAATTAGTCTGATGGTGATGATGCTCTTTATAAATTTTCCACCATATACACACCCACACTTTTTAGTAAAAGTTTGCTGATTTAAACCTTTTTTCCTGTTGCCTAAAAAACTTTCTTCATGTGTGTTATGTTTAGATAAGGTGTACTGTAGTTTGTTTTGTGTTTATTTTAATTCCATCCTTGAGCACATATGGAGCAAAATTTCTCAACTTCAGTATTCCCGACATTTTGGACTGCTTTTCTGTTTTGGGGCAGTGGTGTGTGCTTTGCAGCATATTTAACAGCATCCCTGACCACTATCTGCTAGATGCCAATAGTATTCTTTCCTCAGTTGTAACAACTAAAAATGAGTCCAGGTGGAGGCACCTGTGTCCTAGGGGGTAGGAAAAATTAGTTGAAAATCACTAATTTACAAAGCTTGGAGTTGCACTAGTAACAGCAATTTGAATCTAGATTTTCTTTTTTTTTTTTTTTTTTTTTTTTTGGTACTGGGGATCAAACTCACGACCTCACACTTGCCAGGTAGGCGCTTATGCCACTGAGCTAAATCCCCAGCCTTAAATCTTGATTAATAAAAGTTTAAATTGTATTTTCTAAGTTATACTGACATTCCAGGTGTTTTAACAGTCATCTTGTGGCTGCTGTAACAGGCAGCACAGTTATAGATCATTTCCACTGCCAAAGGAAATTCTATAGGACAGTACAACGGAGCTGGGCAGTTTAAGGTACTACTTATATCCTATCTCTGAATGAGGCAACTTGAACCCTGCTGTTACCTAAATAATTACACCTCAGCTCATTTTAGTTCTTGTTCTCATCTTGAATAGCTGGCTTGCCTGCCTATAAGTATGCTTTCTCTGTTTCACTGGCTGTGTGTTTTTCTCCATCTGTCTCTCTCTCTGTCTGTTTGTCTCTGTCTATCTCTGTCTCTTGTCTGTCGCTTTCTCCATCTTTCTGTCTCTGTTTCTCTCTGTGTCTCTCCCCTTTTCTGTCTGGTTGTCTGTCTCTTTCGAAAATCTTCTGTTACCTTAATGTTTTCCTAGAAGTTTTTGAGGAGAATTAGAAGCAGAAGAACAGAACATCCCTGATCATTACTTAATGATAAGGACTGCCATCTCTATCCTTGCTCTTTAAAAAGTGAGACAAGAACCCGTCTTAGGCGAGCTAGCAATGATGAGTTTCTGTGTTTGCCTTTGCATAGCCCACTCTTGGGTAAAAGGAGGACTTTTGTACAGAGATGGTAGGCTGTGATTTTAGTTTTCTATTAAAGCTGACCTCTTGTGTTGTCATCAGGAAGTGAGGATTTTACATACAGGTGCATGGTGGCTATGGCAGTAAATGATTACCTAATGGTGGATGTCAGAGGAGACTGATGGGATTTCGCCATAGTACAAAGTGCCTACTCCTAAAAATGTATAGCCTTGGTGGTTCTTGGTCTGTTCAAGATTGCAGAGGTAGTCAGTCGCGGAGCTGCCGTTGGTCTGCATTATTCCATTATAAACCCAGATTTTAAGTTTAAAATTATAGGTAAGTGTTGTTTGATTTTAGTGTTATTGATCTCCACAAAAAGCAGAAACAATTTCAGGGCGGGGGATTGAACTCCGGGTCTCAGGCATGCTAGGTAAGCCACCTGGCACAGAGCCCTGCCCCTCACCCTCGACCCCTTGGTTGTCAGAAACCTGTTTTGATTTATACTTTACTACTCACAAGTTCACTGAGGGTCAAATCCCAGTGCTGATGGATACAGAAGTTGAATAAGATGTAAACCCTCCAGGAGGTTGTGTGTGTTCTAATAAGGGGCATGTACATTTTTAGACAAATGCTTGTTCAGCAAAGGAATAGAAAGTAGCACAGGAATTAAGCAGCAAGTTGGGGTACACAGAGTAAGTGGCCAGGAAAGATTTTGTGGAAGAGATTCTTTAGGTGGAATATTTAGTTCAGAATTGTTCTTTTTTTTTTCTAGAGTTTTAGTTGTAAATGTAGATTTTTATTTTATAATTTGCCTTATTGTTGCTTTGTCTGTAAATTGAGATAGGAAAGCCATTTCATCCTTTAAAGTTAAATTAGATACAAAAAAAAAAGGACTAGTGCCTCTAGTCGCATTGAAAAGGTCCAAAATATTTTTTAGAAATTGATTTATTTATCTGAAATTAAATTCATCCTCTTCAAGCAGAATTCAGGGTGATAATAGTATTTCATGATGATACTAGTATTTCAAATGTTTGCTTTGTATTTATTAGGATTGTTGCAGTAGGTTTTGTCTTCTTGTTTCGTTTTGCTTTGTTGTAGTATTAAGTGTTAAGCTACCTTAAAGTTAGAGGTTGGACAGTACTT